CTATTGGGCCTGCTCTGATACACCCAGTGAGGAAGTCGCAAATAAGACGAAACACTCATCCTGGATTGTGCTGTGCTAATCACTCCAACGAAAATTAGAACAACAATATCCTAAGTTTGTTCTAAGGTGGTGGTTTTATTCGTCTCAAACTCTCTTTCTCAATGCCATTGTGAAGATATTTTCTGCGATTAGATATTTGTTTATTTAGGATTTTAGTCATTTCTGATGTTAGGCGAACATTTGTTGTTGTAGTCTCTTACTTATAACAAACAAGATTAGTTACAATAGTGAAGGGTATTTCAGTTCTTTAGAAAAACAGTAGTGTGTGTGTGTGCGTGAGTGCAAATGTGTAGGTAACCATTGTGACTTTTGTGTTGAAACAACAGACTCTTAAATTCACGTTACTGAAGAATCACTTACATTCTCATGTGCAGTTGGTATTGAGCCACACCTGTTTTGCAACGGCTACTTGGCTACTCAAACCGCAGTAAGTGGGGGTGTGTCTGGGGTGACTGCGAATCTATGGCCCAGTGTGTTTGGTACTGGAATGCCTAGGAAGCTTTGTCACATTTCCACTGATATTAATTTTGTTACAGAACATGATTTAAGCAAGCAAATACATATTTTCGGTAAATTCCCACCAGGCTTTACATTTACATAATGATGAAATATTAATCATAGGCATTTGAGTTCATGTGGTTAATAAATTATAAAATCAGAGTTGTGAATTAATGGGCAGCAATCGAGTTGATGATTATAATAAATAATAACAAGTATAAATTTAATCCGAGTGTTTATATAATCTAGGCAACGGTGAATCCCTTATGGAAAGTGATATAGACGTAGGTATATCACCTCAAGCACTACAGGAACTGCTACTCTGTTGTACGATAAATGTACAGTTTCAATTTAACAACGACTTTTACCGTCAAGCGGAGGGCGTATCGCGATAGGCTCCCCTCTGGGTTCTTTCTTAGCCGATATGTTTATGGCAAAATTAGAGAATCGTCCACTCAAAAAAGTGGTCAACGAACTCTCGTTCTACAGTAGATATATAGACGATACGTTTATCTTGCATAGTAATAAAATCGATGATGAGATTCTTCTCCAAAAGTTCAGTATGGCTCACTCGCAAACTGAGTTCACATATGAAAAGGAGAAAGACAACACCTTATCATTTCTTGATGTCCTGCTAACAAGATGGCAGTATTAAGAGGGTAAAATAGAAAACTTATTATATTAGAAGGCATACCCCGAAAAATTCGTTAAACTCTCGATGAGGGAACAGATGGGAAGAAATGCCTGCAGATTGTGCAGAAGAAACAGATATGCTTGACTTAAAGGAGATGCAGCAACTGAATTACTGACATCAAAACTTCGGAAAATAATAGCTAAAACATTCCTTGCTACAACATTATGTTTGAAATGCCCCACTTATTGTATAATTCCAATGCAGGTGAAGGGTAAGCTGCCGATTTTGGCCACTTCAGTGTGCATTTATAAATTTAACTGTTCATGTAGAGACAGTTACATGGGTAGAACGGCTCGGCAAGCCCACCGTCACCTTCCGGAGCATTGTTCAACGTGGTTAGGTAGAGGAGTCGTAAAGTCAATTAGAAGTTCCATACTGGCACATCTAGTGGATAACGGAGCACAAAATTGACAATAAATCAGCTTTTACAACTCTAAACAGTGTGCTACCTCAACTCCCTAAGTTGGTACGTCTTCGGTTGCTAAGCATAGCTGAGACATTTACCATAAATATTTTTCAACCTAATGTCTGTGTTCAGGAAATGTTTGTTCAATCTGTCTCCCTCCCTTGGTCCATCACTCTCGCTGATACCTGATAATTGTAAATATTATCTTATTATTTTATCTTATTTGTAGTGCTAAAAGTATTATCAATATCATGCTGTGTTGTAGTTGTACATTTTATTCTCGGTTTCACGATTTATTGTTACTCTATTATCCAGTCGCTATGTGACATTAGTTATCCTCCCCTCTACACCTATCAAGTATGTACATTCTACCTATGCACTCACCGTTGCCTAGATTATATAAACACTCGAACGGATTTATTATTATTATTATTGTTATTATTATTATTATTACTATCATTATTTATTTTATTTTTACATTTCCCTACATACTTTCTGATTAATTTATCAGGGTAATTATTAAGTTTCAAAGCTTCTCTTATATGCCTCACTTCCCGTCTTAGATTTTCCCTGGTACTACTTAGTTTGTATGCTCTATTACTTAAACATATCACCGGTCCTACTTTTACTGACATAGGATGGGATGATCGGAAGTTCAAATATCTGTTTGAATGTGTGGGTTTCCTATAAACTTCCCATCTTCTTTCTTTTTTACGCTACAATCTAACATTGAAAGTTCTCCTTCCTGACTTTCCAATTCATAAGTGAATTGAATTGCCTCCACCTTTGAGTTAATGTGTTCGAAAAATCTATCTATATCCTGTGTTCTAAGTACAGTGAATGTGTCATCTACATACCTCCACAATACTTTTGGGTTGGGGCTGAACGTTTCAATCGCTATATTTTCCACCTATCCATGAATATATCTGCCACAACCGGGGATATTGGTGACCCCATGGCGACTCCCTCAGTTTGTTTATATATTTTCCCCTGGAATTTAAATACTGTAGAAGTCAGGCATAGCTACACTTCCAGTATCATATCCTTGAGTGGCACTTTCGTTCTAAGTTCAAGTTCTTTGTCAGAAATGAGTTCGTTTCTGACTGCCTCTATAGCCATATTTATTGGCATGTGTGTATATAAACTGACAATGTCAAAACTAACCATTTTTTCTTCATCGTCTAATTTTAAATTATCTAATCTATGTTTCAGTTCATAAGAATTTGTTGGTCTAGATTTTGAGTGGCTTTTAAGGGGATTTAATGCCATGACTAAATATTTAGATAATTCATGAGTAGGTGAATTTCTAAAATCAACTATAGGTCTAATAGGGTATCCTGGCTTATGAAATTTAACAACAACATACATCCTACTGGGGTTATTAGTTTTGGGCATTAAATTAAACCATTTAGACTCACCTAGAAACGACTTCATTCGGCGTATAAGGTCCACTGTGGATTTCTTAACCTTATTCATAACGGTGTCTATTGATTTATTAATTTCCTCATATGGTCTGGTTTGTATGTCAGTATTCGCCTTGTCCAAATAGTCTGATTTGTCTAATATTATTGTTGCATTTCCTTTGTCTGACTTTGTGGTTATTATTATTCTTAAGGTATTTTACGGCTTTCATCGTTTTTGTCGTTTTAATGTTAGTGCACATTGTGCCCGTACTTCGTCAGCCGTTGTTTTGTCTATCCCACTTATAGTGCTATTTCTATTTTCGGGATGACATCCTGAGGTTTTAGCTTGTCCACCGCTACATTGAAATTTCTTTTCTTTTCTAATGTACTTGTTTCTGTCATCATTTCAATCATCATAAAGTTGTCAAAATTTGATATGAATTTATATAACTTGACTAGAGTTCGATACGGAATGGCGATAATTAACTCGTCTGATTACCAATTACTTCTGACCCTCATTCCGTACTCAAATGACCGCAGAACACAGACTACCGGTCTAGATCGGTAAGAACAATTGATGTCATTACGGAAGAACACATTTTATGTACAAATATTATCAGCCTTCGAAAGTTAAGCCAGTAAATAACTAGTCTGACCTTCATGGTTGTCCAATCGCATTGTAATGAATAATCTGCCTCGGCCAGATGTTTTATATATTTCTTCAGATTGGTATAAGTCGATCTAAGCCCACTTTGGCTGCTTTCAACCGCTTCTCATTGAAGTGACTAATAACTGCGTGATGTTAGTTACTTAACTCGTAACAACAAAGTAAACAGAAACCTTTTGCGAGTTTTAATTTTACCGATTTTGCATAGTTCAAAATATCGATTCACTTTATACGATAGATATACAGCTTATGTATAAGTCTATAAGTGACTGTATGTTTTACTCACGTCATTGTTCCTGAGAACAATTTCCTCAGTTTTTATATCAGGCTACGGATATAAGGGCATGAAGTTCCCCCTATTTTGTAAAAAAAACTCACCATTGGAGATTGTCACCCATAAATCTCTGCATAGAATATAGTCTGTGTTCACTGAACAGATCCATAGCATTTATAATTTTTGTTACAAGTTTCATCACAGATTGCCAATGATATGAGTTAGGCAACCATTGGAAAGCATCAGAAAGGACTAGCTAACTGTTTCATCCCAGTTCAGGGTTCTTCATCAGTATGCACCCTTGGCACTACTAGGGTTCGAATTGAGGACCTTCAAGTTACAAGGTGATTTCATCGATCATTCGACTACTGAGGCGATATCTAATGGATCATGGTTCTCGTACTGATATCAGCCAGAGATCGAACTTAGAACTAATCAGATCTCCTTACATACTAATACTTGAAGATAGTTTTCGTTCTATAAATTTGCCTACTTATGAATAGTAGTATTAGGTGTACATAAAAAAACGAAGTCAAGACATTCGATTCTCCGGTATCTAGTGCTTTTTGATCATTCTGTTGTCCACAAGGAACGTGACACACACACACATGCAGAGACAGTAGAGTAAGGAGAAAAAAGCAGACAAACAGGAAGACGTGATATTTTTGAGGACATTGATGTTTCTGTTCAAATGTGTGTGTTGATGTGTGCATTTCGAAAGAAGTATGTTAGTATAAAGAAATTGTATTCACAGATTAGTTAATTAATGTTAAGGTTGATGTAATCACCGGCTGCTGTGAAAGCCATTCATGAAAGAACCAAACATTAACAACAGCAAAGTAAAATTTCCTAATCGATTCGAGAAAATCAGAAAAAACAACAAAAGAGGCGAAAAACGGTGAAACCGATGAAAAAAACAACAAACAATTCATCACAGTTGTCCTCATTATTTCGAAGAAGAGATATTCAACAGTGCTGATTTGCATAGAATAACAAAGTCAATTCTCTGTAGATATTAATGAATTGTTTGTTGATTGATAGAATAAATTTGTTCCGTTCATGTGTAAACTTGAAGTGTCTGATGAATAATTGTCAAATGCAATTGCATCATAATTTTCAGAATTATTATCACTAGATGAGTTAATTGATTTTCCTGTTGGTGAACAATAATTCTCCATGATCAATTCATCGAATAATTCGTCATCTGAAGCATTGTCATCATCACCATTATTATTATTATCACTTATATTATGAATATTGACATCATCATTATTGTAATTATTAATGTTTGAATGAATATTCTCTGCATAATTGCCATTTTTGTTCTCACTAGTCTGAAAGTTTTCATCATTCAAGAAAGAATTTGATGTATTCAACTCGTATTTATTCGTGATATTCTGTTCAATGTTCAACATATTAAGTTTATTGAAATCCTGATCATGTCTTTCTGTGGTATACATTTTGTTATATGCCTTTCCATTAAATGAGACGTTATTGTTGTTGTTGTTGCTGATGTTGTGGTTGTCGTGAATGGAATTTATATTTTCCTGGCAAGAATTTTGTTGAGTCAGTGGAATATTGAACAAACTTTGTGATTAAAACGACAAAAGAAGACGAAAATACAAGTTGTAAGTATTAAAAAAATGAGTAAATGACAACTAATTTATCAATGATATGAAATGAATGTTTATTTTCAATTAGACAGTTTTGCCCAGGGTTAAATTACCAATTAATGTGTGTGTGTGTTTGGGTTTGGAGTCATCTCAGATGCTTTCATTCATTCAGTCATTCACTAACTGTCTGAGTTTTTAATATAGAACTTCGCACTGTTTACTAGATGTGTTGTTGTTCATACTGCGCTAAGCAGATGTTAAGTGACGTAGGATTAAGCTTGGATTTCGTTAGGAGAGGTCAAGTCAAAACCTGGCATTAATCCACAACACGTATAGAGATGTAGACTACTTGTTTAGGGTCCTCGGGATGCTAAGATCCAATAGCTGGAGACTGTTGGTGACGTGAATCAAAATCATTCTCAGAGATGGCTAAGATGCATTCATATTTTTTAATCTCTCACATATATTAAATTCTAATTATTCGCCATGTTGTTAAACTATCTCCCGTAAATTTCTGCTCACTATAGGTCTTTTGAATTTTTTTCCTTAGTCTTTGAGTACTACAAGAAGTGTGGTAATTTTAAATGCTCCACGCACGTCAGTGCGAAGTTCCATATATTGGAAGTCGGACAGTATTATGTTGCAGGAACCCTTGTCTGCTAGTATCTTTTATGTCTGTTGACGCATTGAGTCCTAGTATGAACGACGCGACGACGTCTGAGGGCTCAGGAGGTGGCGACTTTATACCAACTAACGGCTTTGGTCTGGGTGTCAGGGGTAGTATTGCAGCTCTCTCACGAACAATGAGATTTTGGATGGCGCATCTCTTGGTACTCATAATGTACCAAATTTGTGTTTTAATAAATAGCAAGTAAATTTGATAAGCTTATTTGATATAACAGTGTTACTGACTGGTAACACTGCTCAATAAACTCACAAGATTGTTACAGACAGAAGCGCAATTTACAAATCACTGTATTAGTCAGTGCTCCTTATCAAATGGTCTTAAGCTTAATCCCTCCAAATGTTAGGCGGTTAATTTCACTTCCATACATAAGTGCAACTTACATGAACTGGTTACTTCTCACGGTTCTACTATCATAGATGCCACAGAAGTTGAAACTAAATTGAATGTTAAACACTTTGGACTGTGTATTTCCTCTAATCAGCTTTCCTGATCTTCCCATATCATGTTAGTTTCCAGAAAGATATTTCGTTTAAAGTTCTATGTAAGGAAGTTAAACCAATTTGGAATCATTGTGTCTCTACTGTTACCGTTTGTTAATTGTTGTATTCTGCCTATACTTCTTTACTGTTCCCCTTAATTTTTCCTGGACTACTTAAGAAACACTGTGTTATACTGCACGAAGGGCACTAAAAGCCGTCAGTAGGGCTAGTGGGGTGTTACTAAACTAACTCGTCAATAATGTTTTAGACAGTGGACACATAAACTCTTGAAAGAAATTAGCGAATGTTATCTTGTCAGACTGTGAGCATCCTCTCCACACACAACTCTCTCCTTGCTGCGTCTCATCGGGGAGAACTAGAAGCAACTATAGAAGACTGTATGCTCGGACGACTGAGTACAAGAACTACACAATACCTTATTTAGCACACATTTTATGTGATGAGGACAGTGTATGACAGGAAACTACCAACTTACTGCTGAGGTACTCTAAGTAAACAGCCCCATTTTTTCATTGTTACATTATTGTTAATATTTATTATTATTTTATATCCATTTTCTTGTTGAATAATATTATCGATGTAAGTGCCCTACTTCAATTAGCACTCTTTATGTATATATATGTTTCATATTGGGGAAAATTCAATCTTATTTTTAGACTACTGATGTGTATATGCAGTAGTCAATATTAAATAAGAAAAACATTTTTTACCATGATGAACTTGTAGCTTTTCCATCCATCAGTGTTGAATCAACTGGCCATATTTCATTGATTTTCATTTCTGATCTGCTATTTTTCATTTTTGTATCATCTGTAAAGGTTTTGACAAAACAAATGAGGCAAACAAAACTTGCTAAACAGTCAATAGCAGATATTTGAATTAATGTTGATCGATATTCAAGTGGTGGGGTGATGTGCAGGGATTTGGTTGGTAGCTTCAAGTCATTTATCTAAATGACATCCAGTTAGCGAATTATTGAAGAATACGGAGCCACTGGAGGGCTTCTTTGACTTAATTTGGGACTCATGACTTCATTGGGGATATTTGTTCGTGATCAAACTTAGAGTCAATTATAAATCTCTGAAAAACTACACTTAAAAATTCACCTAGTGGTTCATGATTGCACTTGCCTATAGTTGTACTGACAAGTCGCAACTAGTAGGATTCACCAATTCCTATGTGAGGTTAAATACTTGCCGGGGATATTGGCTGGCGGTGGTAGTGACTTGACAGAATTTAGAATTCACGGGCCAATGCATTTAGTCACAATAGGTAAGTGGGTTCGCCTCTTACTTTTGAGATTCCGTATGTGTTTTCTGCTGAAGAGTCACAAAGTGGGGCGAAATGTTTGTCCAGTTAGTGCTCTGTGGTTCTCAATGGCTTTCCAGCTTATGCCAGTTCGTGATCTAAATTGGCGTGAATATATTTTGTGGATATAACTCACTGTACTACTGAGTAATATTCTACTACGTACCTCCGCAAGTCCTCAGGTTTTTCATGGATGAGATAAACGCCTTCAGATAGATCTGAATGCTAATGAGGGTAGAATGATCCTGTCATTGTACAACCTAGTTTTTAGGAAACCATACAGTCCTATTCTGTGCAATTTCATATTTTGCTCTACAAATTCTTGTAAAGAATACAGGTAAACATTTCTTATTGCAGGAAATTGTACATACCGTTTCAGCTATCCATTTGATTCATAATTATTAGAAAAGTTTTCTAATAAGATATTTAACTCGGCAGAAAACAGAATTTGAATATCTTGTATGATAGTCTAACTTAAGGTTTGATTTATTGTACGACGAATATTTATTTCTACAAGTGTTCAACGACTGAAACTCGTAGTTGAGTCAGATGTGAAATCGGTTTCTTCGATATTTAGGCACCAGATAGATTTCCCGGCAATCTTCAATCGATCTCTACTTATGAAGACAATTTGATTTAATTTATACTGTCATCTCAAGATCGTTCATGAACTGACTTCAGTTAGAGAACCAATAAAAACCAGGAAGTACTGAGTAGTTGTTTCGCCCTAATTCGCACCTCTTCAGCAGCATGCATTCATGGCCCCGCCCGAGTTCGTACTCAGGGCCTCCAGGTTATGAGACGATAAAGCCATAAACCATTCAGCCAGTAAGATAAGATTTAATGGCTGATGGATTCTAACCTCTGTCTGATATAGGTGCAGGTTGGAAAATAGTAAGTGGTGGCCAAACAAAAACATGGCATCAATCCATGAAATCCCTGACAGTTAGACTGAGTCAGGTAGGGAGATGCAGACTTCCGGGTTGGGGCCCTCGGGACTCTAAGAATCAATGGCTGGAGACAATAGGTGACATGGCTCAAAATCGTTGTCAATGGCACAGATGTATTCAGTCTCTTTAACCTTCATATTCCTTTCTACCATTACTCATTCTGTTTCACTCTTATACTTATCTAAATTCTATTGATTCTCTTCTCTCATTTTCCTGTCTACCTTTGTGTGCTATTTGGAACGTGGCAACTCGAACTGCTGCACTTCGGTGACAAGTTCTATGTTGAATCCAGCAGCAGCAGCAGCAACCTCTGCAGACTCGCAATATATAGCGCGACTGCCAGTCATTTTCATCAGCGAGCATCTGACCTCACACCAGACTTGGTGAACCCCATCGTTCACGTCTTCTTACTGGGATTTCACTCTATCTCATCCTGTAGTCAGTCACTATTGTGCAGTCTATCAACTCCCTACAGACCAACACTTGAAAATACTATCTTTGGGGTACCCTCTGTTTGTGCATTTTGGTCAAGTTATATAAGCGTGAAATTGTTGACCCGGACGGTTGAATCACTTCCTACGTTTGTAGGCTAATCACTGAATTCTGTTTTATTTTCAGAAGGACCTTTGTTACTGCTTTACAATTTGTACAGTGTTGTTTATTCCCTAGTCTAGTTTGAGAATTTTCTTTTGTTGTTGTTGAGAATCTCCGACATCCTTTTAATATACTCTGATCTGTCCAATAAAACTACGCCATTGACATTATCTGAAAGTATAACGATTAGATCTTTATTGCTGAATAATTGTTTTAATTCAACGATATACTGTCTGGTCAGAAGTCGGTTTGAGGTTTTGAACTTCAGACAACAGTCAACTACAGTTGACGTGAAGTGTTGCAGTTCTTCATTAGAAACAGGAATTAATTGTCTGGTTTGGTTAACTACACTCTCAAATTCAACTTCAGTGTGGAGATATAACTCTTTAGGAGCTTGATGACAAGATTTAGTCTCGAGGTGGTTTGATGTAAATATTTTTTCTGTTAATTACTGAGGCCATCCCGTAGACTGACTCCATTTTTAAGTTTACACCGAAGATCCTGTCTAGGAAGACAATAAAAGATTTACAAGTGAAGTATCCAGCAACAATACACACTTTAGGTTATAGATACATTTTTAATCAGAAGACTTACACCATCGTTTTTGTTTTTCTAAATTGTTGGTCATCATTGAGTAGAGAGAGATTATCTTAGTGTTGTTTCACTTTAAATTGCTTGCACAGGATTAGTCATTTGTTAGTTTTTAACTCAAGAATTCTAGTAGAGTAAAGTAGAGTGCGTCGGTGGTGGTAGAATGCTCGCCGACCACGTATGTAGTCCGGCGTTCGATCCCCGGCCACCGACGCACTCCTTCACCTTGCTAAGCCAGTAATAAGACTGGTAAAGAGGGGAGGTTGTGCATGGGCTAGCAACCCTATTCCGTAAAAAATAAACACCACTGCTACCGAAACTTCAAGCCTCTAGCTTGAAGCTCTATGTTCCACTGGGAACGTGAAGGAATTTTAAAAAAAGAGTAGAGTAGTAATGAAATCGTTTAAAATTATCCTTCGATTAGTAATCTGATATTTACATTGTGGGATGAATGAATAGGATTGAGACATGCTGGGATGTCTATAACTTGAATAAGAGTTGAATACAAGTAACCTGTTACCGATTGACCCTAGTGGGTAACAAAAATCCGAGCGGCTTGAACTGATTCCGTTCTCTGAGGTGAATGAATCCATCCATGGGTACATCTCTGATGGGCTCAGCGCCAAATGTACAAAACGGGTCATCCAGTGTGTAGACCACTTCAGTGTGGCTAGCTAGCACTTTCTAATTGGAGCAAGTGGTATCCAACTACTAATCATCAGGGGTATAAACTCGTTTCTATGGTACATATTTACTAAAATTGAAACGATACAGAGAAAATTAGTGAGGATAACACGCATATTTCTAGTGGGTTGGTAGTTCAGTAGTAAAATGCTCGTCAGCCAGCCACACAATGAAATTGGGTTCGATTCTGAGCCGGTGACCTCCTAAATCTTATCTTGCCTAACCAGTAGTAAACTTTGAAAAGAGGAAGATTTAGGTGTTAGACTAACAGCTCCACTCCGCAAAAAGAAACAACATCACTGCTACTAGAATTCTAAAAGAAATTTTGAATCCCTATATTCCACTGGGAACGAAAGATATAAATACCACTGTGGCGTGTGCTACTGATAAGATTTATCAGTAGTACATAAAGAGGCGTTCATCGGTGGAAAAACATCAAATAGCAGGGAGATAGGTTTGACGTCAGAGAAAGCAAATGATACAGTGTTGCGGAGAAATATGGGATAAGTGAAAGGAACAAAAGGAAACACAATATGAAGGGCAGAAGTAGAACAATATGGAAGATCTGTGCAAATGGTACGTTGAAGATAAGGTGTGCATAATATCGAAAATAGCGATACCATATCCCAATGATACATGTCTGATCTCCCACAAACTGGAAGATATGCTAATGAAAAGCAACAAGTTGTCAGAAGAAGCATCAAAGATAGGAATTCAGGTGAACACAGAGAAAACAAAGGTGATAAAGATTCCTGGCCAACAGCAACAACAATAGACAACAATCAGCGTAAATGGGAGAAATCTGAAAGAAGCAACCTCCTCTACCTACCGACCTACCTGGGAAGTATCATTTCAACTACAGGCGGACGGAACTGATGAGGATATCAAAGTGAGGATCGGGAAAATAAGACAAGCTTTCATTCCTCTGAAGTCTGTGTGGAGGTCAACAGCATTCACCAGGAAAAATAAGATCAGGGTTTACAACTCCAATGTGCAGTCAGTGCTCCTATATACGTACCAGACACTTGGCGCATCACGAAGGGCACTTCAAACGAACTACAAAACTTCATCAATAGCTGTCTTCACTCAATACTCTAGATCAGATGGCCGGCCAGAAAAGATGAGCAACAGGGATCTCTGGCAATGAGCAACCCAGCAGGAACCGACTGAACAACAAATAGGCAGGAAGAAATGGAGGTGGATTGGCCATACTCTTAGAAAAGAAACCATCAAGTGACATCACACGCTAGGCAATTGCTCGAGTGGAACCCGAACGGGAGGCGGCGAGTTCGTCGTCATTGCGAGGGTGATATGAAGGAGGTCATGTGAAGAGGAGATGAAAGCATATGGGCATACGGGGAGCCAGGTGAAAACGTTGGCGTAGAACCGAACGCAATAAAATTAAAGGGAACAAATAATAATAATATAATAATACCATATAAGGAGGGGACATCTGAGACCCTACGCAGGATCTTTAACAAAACAGCAGTTAGGGTGACATTTAAACCTACAAACTCACTCAGGTAGGACAAGCTCTGTAGGTTAAAGGACCCAGTTGACCCAATTAGACAAAATAATATAATTTACAAAATAGCTTGCAATGACTGTGAGTGGGATCAACTACATAGGTCAAACCAGAAGATCGGGCGGGGGTAATCAGATTGTCAGAACATAAGAATTTAGCTAAGGTAAGAGTGCTTGACCCCGAGAAGATAAGTAATTTAGAAAAAAGCTCAGCGATTGCACTGCATGCAATAAGACACAACCACACAATAGTGTGGTAGAGGGTTGAAATTCTGAAAGGTTATATACGTAGGGGGCGAGAAAGAGAGGTTGATTACTGAATCCTTGTTCATCGAGTCTACACCCAACACGTGCAATAGGATGCAATGACTCATCATTCATACGGGAAATATGGAAAATACTACTACCGATCAAGTCAAGCGATGAAAAATAACGGAATTATATAAACGAAGTTAGAAAGTTGTGTGAGTAGTGTCTTGATATGATTATGAGGTGCAGTAATAAATTGTGGTCGAAACATGGTCATCAGTAAAGATCAGTGTATAAAACTGTGAGACTTTACCAAAATAAATTTTAACCATCACCACAGTGCACAAGTTCTATTCTTATATCAGAGCGTATATTATCATCTGACAAGGAATTGTGATAATTTTCCTCATTCAACACTGTATGATTCTTTAATACAAATTAAGTTAACATTTCACCCTCACTAGCATTAAACAACTTACCTTTCTCTTCTTCCTTTTCATCATTTGACAATTTCTTATTGTTATGCATTGAATCGTTCATCCGATTGATCATTGTATTTGCTTTCAATTCAGCATAAAATTGATCTGTCTGAGAGCTTTTTTTATAAATTTCAAAATTATCCATCAATTGATGATTTGCTGTAGTCATGTGATTATTTTCATTGTTCTCATTGTTCTTCTTCTTCTTCATGATGTTGAAGCATTGACCACCAGGTTGAACATCATTGTGGTTTCTATTATCACTACCATTAGCATTGTTATTATTATTAATATTATTGTTATTATCATCATAATTCATAATCCATAAACTGGCGTTATTGTCATTATTGTCTGTTGGTGTCAGCTGACTATCCTCTTCTATTTCATTGCCTATTTGATTGTTTGAGTTATCAATTGAAACGACAACAACACGAGGAGTAACGGTTGTAGTAGCAGTGACCTTTGTTGTATTTGTATTAGCCTAAATAACACGGGAATTAGAATTAACACATTCCTATGATAAATACATTTATTTCAAGAGGAAAAAAAATCAAACGAATTTAATCACTAGTTGGAGAGAGAACTGCGTTTTGTTAGCTGTTTTTTTCCTGGGAATTCTAGGTTGTGAAGTATTGATCCAGATCAACAGGGAGGGGGGAGTGTCATGATACACGAAAAATTAATTGTGTAGCTTATAGCGTAACACATAAAAGTGTATGTAACTACTAATGCCGACGTCTGCACCACACTGAATACATCAGTTCTTGTCTCGCCGCCGAAGGTAAACAACATTAGGCCCAGGTGTTGGTGGTATTTTGTGGCCTAGTAACTTAGTAGACAGCTCTTTGCAGTTGGTCGTTCAGTGTTAGAGTACTTGACAGCTTGTGGGATATTTGAGCCCGGTATCTCCCAGCCGACACACTCCTCAACAACGCCTAAATCCCTGTGGCTAGCTAGGATAAGCAAAAAGTTAGGTATATGAGGCCAAGAACTCCACTTTATTACGAATAGTTTGAAATGATTTAAACCCTATACCCCACGTAGAACAGAAGGAATCAAAAAAGTCACGAAAGTTGCTCTTAAAAGTCTTTTTTAGCTTTATAAACATTATGTTATGTAAGAGAAAAGACGAGCATTGGGGATGTGTTTTACTGTTCTCCAATTGTATAAATACATACAGATGTTTTACCGAACCACACACACACACACACATTCTTAGGTAATTAGTGTTGATAAGTGCTCGGTTTATATGGTAATGGTTTCTTGTTGGTGTTAGGATTCTATTTGAAACACTTTTTGATGAAGTTGTGAGGATATACATTCTTCTTGAAGACTGTTACTAGGTGCTTTTCCTCCATTCTCTTCAACACCGGAGTAGTGCTACAGTGTGTGTCCGAAGTCTTTCAAATAATGTCTGCACACAGTTTCTTTTGTAGTTAATTGGGTTATTACTACAATATTTGAGTATTTAGTCTTTGTGCATTGATTTTCTACATATTTGTGTTTCTAAATTTCCTGTGTTAGTTCTCTTGATAATAAAAGGTAAATCACACGATAAGAAAGTTCGAATTCCAAGTCAAAAAAATATGATCAATAGAGGCGTAAACTAGCAACCAGTCACGACAGCGGTTGCCAGGAGATACAATTATATCACCACTCATGGAGAATTCAAATAAGTCTATTTTACTCTAAAACCTGCGCTGAAGATGTCTAAATGGGGTCGACGAAAGCTTCGCAGTTACAACAACCAGTCAGCTCAGAGAACACAACTAATTCAATATCATCCACCTGAGCTACAAATCTTCGACATTATATCAATGTGCGTTTATATTCGACTTCAGTGTTTAGGGTCTTGTTTCAAAGATGTTTTACTGCTGTAGAAGGTTACATGGACTCTTATAGTGCTAAAAACACTTCATATACCTTGAGAAATAGGTTTTTACTTGGTAAATTTAATCATTTAAGGTACTAAGAAAAAGGCGCAAACAGTGAAGGAAATTTCCTTTTCGACGATTCATTTTCATGAGCTGTACAATTGTAATTATATTAAACAAAGAAATTTTTAGACCAATCAGATACTGGTAAATTTTGTCCTTGGAAAATTGTATTACATAATGTAAGGTGTAAGAAGGGACGACTAATTGTAAATTAGAAAGGAGACAGAAGTTGGCATGACGTAATAAGTGTGAGATAATGAATAATCAATAATCTCGAGTAGAATGGACAGGAACTAGTGGAAAGGAGATAGAGTGCTTTTATATATAAAATCTGTATGAAAAAGCAATGTTATCAATAAACTAATAGACTGGTAATAAAATATGGATGATGGGAATAATAATGATAATAAAATAATAGTGGTAATAGCAATAATAACATTAATAATAGTGAACTTACATAATAAAAAAGAAAGACGCAAAATAATGGTAAGAGCTTTACTCTGGCCACGGTACGGCGAGAGAATGTATATATTGCTTTTGAATGCAGAGGTCCGGTTTCAGATCTCGAATAGCTAATGCTTCAGCTATGTAAAGATGGCGTATGCGAAGTCCCTTTGTACGATATTGAGGGACTCTATGTAGCACTGTGAAGCATTCGTGTGGGGTTGCTCGATGCCCCGGACATAACAAGGTGTTCGAGGATAGAGCTACTGCTATTCTTCTTTTCTCCTCTGGCTAGCTAGCCAAGCTGGACAGTGTTGCAGAATACGTTTGTGGAGTTGACGTTGCGTACGACCTATATACTTTGTTCTACACGAGCAAGTAAAATTATGTAACACATTTTTCGAGGACAAAGTTTATAAGTATCTGATTGGTCTAAAGGTTTCTTTGTTTAATAAATTTACAATTGTACAGCTCATGGAAATCAATCGTCGAAAAGAAAATTTAAGTTACATCAAAGCATATCGAGCAGACAGTGAAGTCTATAAGGTTTAAGGCAACCTGACTAGCCGAACTAGGCAATTATGAATTTTAGCGGTTCGTAAATCTACCCGCTTGAATCCCCAAAAGAAATTCAAATCACAACAATTATATGCAATCATCAGAGCAGCTATTAAACTCACATGATTAACGCCTATACTTTCGTCGACCGTTATCAACTGCTTTGGACTATCTGTTTGTACGGCACGTGTTTTTGCATAAGTTTTCCAATGAATATGATTCTTCACTTGTGGTGGTTTAGTAGAACAACTTCGCTTATTATTATTACTACCACTACTGCGACTACGACTGCTGCTACCAATAACGTTATCTTTATATTTTTGTTCATTTTTCAATTTACTATCCAGTCTATACTGATGATTACCACCATCATTGCTACTTATTCCGGTGATATAAGTAGTAGTTGGATAATTTTCTGTGAAATTCTCCTCCGTTCGATTATTGTGATTGTTGTCGTTATCATTTTCAGTGATGGTCAGTTCAGTGTGACAATCTTCAGCATGACACTGATAATTCTTCTCTGTAATTCGACTAACAAGTGAGCATAGGTCTTCAAAAGTATCCTGCAGAATATGAAGTTCTTCATTTGATGTGTTGGTTTTATTTTTTCTAAATTATTATAATTCCATTATTGTGAGAGAAAAATAAGAAAAGTAGTAGTAATAATAATAATAATAATGAATCATCTGTTATCTTATTAAGTGAGGTAAGTGAGGTTCAAGTATTGGTTTGTACGGATTCTTGTTTGATTGGTTACAGGATTTCATCATGAGCTGACATCAGTAAGAGAACCATCGGAAAATCAGCTGAGAGTACTGGACAGCTGTTTCATGCTAGTTTAGGACTCTTCATCAGCCCGCACCCACTGTGGTCAAACCCAGGACCTTCTAGTTACAAGGCGAGCTCGTGTGTAAGGACAAACACTCGCCGAAGACATTGGCTAGTGGTCGCGCTATGTCGTGAATTGGCAGAAGTTAGAATTCCTGGGCTATTGCATCGGGTCCCAGTGGCTTAATGGTCTATGATGTTGTTGGTTTTATCTTCTTTCGTTGTTGAGTCTTTTGGTTGACAAAGAACTCAAGGAAAGGTTAAAGAAAATCGTCCTACCATACACAAAAGACATCTCAGAAATCACTGAAAGACTCTTCAAACCTTTAGGAATTGATGTCGCACACAAACCAACAAAATCACTTCACTCAGCTGGCTCTGTGTCACTCAAAAGACTCAACAACGAAAGTAGATAAAACCAACATCATCTACAAAATAAATTAACAACTGCGAAAAACACTACATTGTCCAAAGTGGACTTCCATCCTCTTCGTCTTCCTATCCACGAACATATACTAGCCGTCAAAAGACATGATATCCACTCCCTCATATCACTACATACAGACAACCACGGGCATCAATTCGACTGGGACAACGTTTAAATATTAGACAGAGGAAACAACAAAAATGCTAGAGAATTTTTAGAAGCCTGGTGTATTCCAGTGAATCATCAATCAATAGACACATCGAGATAGACAAAACTTATCAACCGATTAGAAAGAAACCTCACACACAAAGGGGCAAAGTTCAAGCCAAAGAAACAATCAGTTCCAATACAAGTAGCCTAGAAGGTGTGAAAACACAAAAACAACCAGTCACGTCCAAGGTCACCAGGAGAGATGATTAATAAACTCGTGGAGAAATCTAAAAGCTCACTTCAAATTGAAGTACGCGCTGAAGATGTCGCCTAGTGGGCGATGAAAGTTTCGCAAATTAACTATCCAGCTCAGAAAACACAACCACATCAAAATTACTGATGACGTTTCGAGCACAATTTATTGCTATTATTGATATGATTATGAGGAATAAATTGTGCTCGAAACGTCATTAGTAAACATTACTGTATAAGACTGAGAGACTTTATCAAAACAAATTTGACCCATAATGGGATTCTACTAGTTGATTTGCAAACCAACAGTATCATAGGAAAGAGTAACTCTTCGCTGAACGCCTCTTTCTTTTGTGTGTCTTACTGCTTATGAGGCAATGCTTTATCCTTCATCTCAAAGTACATAGGATAACTACAAATAATATTCTTGTCTGTAAAAGGATTCATTATCCAATAAAGCATACACCTAAAGACAGAAAAGAAATTACTTAGTGAATGCAACTTCTGTTAACAGTCCATATAGGCTAAAAGCTGACATTAATTCGAGAATCACTGGAAAACAAGGGACTACTGGACAACTGTTTCAGCCTAGCGGGATCTAACAAATCAAGAAACACAACAGTTGCCTGGTAGTTGTGCTGTGCATATAGCCAATTGTTGCAATTTAGGATTCATGGGTTATTGTTTCGTGTCTCACTGGTGGTTAAATGATTTACGAGCTCGTCTTCTAATTGGATAGTCGCGGGTTCGAACTTCTGTGGGTGCGTACTGTGTCTACGGGTTTCAAGATAGGACGAAACAGCTGTCCAGTGCTCCTGTATGAAATAAATATTTACGGTTTTTTGGCTTACTTAGAATTTTGAAGATTTTCAATGAGACTTGTTAAACGATATATGAAACTTCGTAATTCTTGTACAGAATTTGAATCAATCTTCAATACATCTTGATCATTATTAACCTGTTGAATGAAGAAAACAGACGTATACAAAGAATAACAATCACAATTAATTCTTAATTAAAAAAACAAACAAGAGATTGAATTTAAATTTCAGGTTTGCAAATAATTTTTCTAAATTTTGGCCTTTTGATAAAGCCAATTTTATTAAGTATTCTGATAATAATCTGATCGGTTAATTTCTCATTCAAACTGTTGCAATGCGAATGGCTGGTTTATCAGAAATTAGTCAGTGATCCTTGTTAAATGGGGTCTTAGGCTAAATCCGTCCAAATTTCTGATTGTTAATTTCACTTTCAGATACAAAAATGTGATACACGTAAATTGGGTTGTCCCCACGATTCTTGTATCATAAGAGACAATGAGGTTGAAAGTATAAGACAATGGTTAGTCTTGATATAACTAGTCTTTATACTAATATACCAATCAGTGTGGCCTTAGAAGCAGTTAAAAAAGACCTACTACCTGTTGATCCTGAACTCACTCCTAGGACGAAGCTGCCCATTGAGGAAATTATTTTAGGAATTCAGTTATGCCTCACATCTACTATCTTTAAATTTCAAGGCAAAATATATAGATAAACAGAAGGTGTAGCAATGGGATGGGTCACCAATATCCCTTATCGTAGCAGATATGTTTATGGACAGCTGGGAAAATACTGCTCTTAATACATTTAATCCTACTCCAAAAATATGGTTGATCTATATGGATGACACTTTCACTCACAGTGTTATAAACAGAACATATCTCTAGCTTCTTGACACACATAAACTCACTACTAAAGGGAATAAAATTCACAATTGAATCGGAAAATGAACTAGGAGAATTAGCTATGTGGTTAGATTGTAAAATAAAACGAATAGAAGAAGGTAAACTGCACACTAGCGTTTATAAAACGCCAACGCATTCTACTAATAGATATTTGGACTTTAATTCATCTCATCCGTTGTCTGTAAAAGTAGGCTTAGTTAAATGTCAAACAAACCCAGCAGTAGCGTAAGGAAAGACCTAAATGATGAAATGAAACAGACAGAAGAAGCATTGGTATCAAACAACCATCCTATAAAATTCATTAGGAATATCAAAAAGGTCAAAAGTAAAATAAAAATAATGAGGAAACTAATAAAGAAAACATAAATAAGAGAGAATATAAGATATCCACAGTTATACCATATAAGGAGGGGACATCTGAGACCCTACGTAGGATTCTTAATGCAGCAGGAGTTAGGGTGGCATTAAAACCTACTAACTCACTCAGGGAAAAGACCCAGTTAGACAGAATAATATAATTTACAAAATGCCTTGCAGTGACTGTGAGGTCAACTATATAGGTCAAACTAGTAGATCGGGGGTAGTCAGACTGTCGGAACATAAGAACTTAGCTAAGGTTAGACCCAGCGAAGATAAGTAATTGATAAAAGACGCTCAACAATTGCACATCATGCCTCCCGAAAATGGTATGCTTCCGTATACTGTGCATTGCCGAAGCGTCAGCAATGCAGATAGAAAACCCTGATTTATGTACACAGAAGAAAATTCTCCACCGTCCCCCTTCTACCTTTGGTATAATTCCAAGTTCTACTACTTTGCTTATAATGCTTTTTTTTGAATTTTTGTATGACATCTTAGTGACATCTTTTTCTTAACCAACCCTTTACTTACTCTTTCTACCTACTACACAATTTATTTTGGACATTTGTCTCCATACTCTTTCATTAACATCCTATTTCATATTACGCAACCCTTGGCAATACCTAACAATCTTCACCCGCTCCCCTAATTATAATTTGATAATTCATTACATTCTTCAAACATTTTGATGACGTAAACAATAACCCTCACTATTTTTTTTGTTCGACAATCCTAATGTACGCACACATTAACACAAAATAATTATATATAAATGCGATTGTACAGCTGAGTGATGAATGAATTCGTCGCCGAAAAGAGATTCTTCGCTGAAAGTTTTGTTATAATATTCATGTCTGGATGGGGGAATTAATAATCTAACAGTGTCACCTTCCCTGTGAGCTTTTTAAAGGTTATTATTGTTTTAACTGTCTTTAACTGTTGCATTAGTTTTCTTCCTAATTTTTTATCTGAAATTCAGTTTAGTATATATATATATATATATATATATATGCATATTATCATTTATTCATGTTTTTGAATTTTAATTCGATTTATCTCAAGGACTCAATTTTATTTTCTTTAAGAAAACGTATTTTCAACAGGACTGTTTTGTATAGTGTAATATTATTATTTATTAGGTCTCTGAGTAAAACACTGGGCTTGGGTAGCGTATCTCCATCCCACTTTGTTCTCTGAATACCTTGTTAACTAGCCCTACGATTGCTTATAGGCTTTCAACTCAGCCCCCCTGCCTCCCACTAATGTGAACTCCTTTATATGTCACTCCATTCGGGTTCCACTCCAGAATGTAACGCGGAATGCCAATCAATGATCTCCGCAGAGTGTGTCCAGGTCATCTGCATTCCCTTCTGTATATTTGTTGGGCGATAGGATCTTGGTTAGTTCGTTGCCTGTCACAGCTCTTCGTTGCTAATCCTTTCTGGCCGACCATCTGATCTTCAGTATTGATTGAATTGGGTAGCTGTTGATAGCAGTCTGTAGTATCCTGTCGATGAAAATCCTTTCTGTGACGCACACAATGAGTCTTTGAAGCATATGGAATCACTGACTTGACATTAGTGTTGGAAGTCCACATCTTGTCCCTTATACTGACTGTAGCAAATATGATATGATGTGTGTCTACTTAAAAAGTTGATCACTCAGTAAGATACACAAATAATTTGTTGCATAATAAGATCTAGTGAATCATAAATGCATTCGACAGCCAATTAACCAACCGACGCCTTACTTAATTGAACCATATAATCATTTACTTCAAAACAGATGTACATCGTTTTCAAGAGTTAGTTTGTAAGGATTTCATTTGTTTCAAATTTAATCCCGGATTGAAATCAGCTGGAGAACTAGTAAAAGCCAGCGATTACTGGATAATTATTTCGTCCTAGTATGGAACTCTTCATCAGCTCGTCGATAAAATCGTTGTATGGTAGAAGTTAAAACTTATGGGCCATTCGATTACAGCTCAAGTGGCTGGGTGGACAATGGCCTTGGCCTCGTGATCTGAAGGTCCTGGGTTTGGTCCTCAGTGGGGGCAAAGTGCGTTATGAAACAACCATCCAGTACTCCCTAGTTTCCAATGGATCTGTCACTGAAATGTACTTAATGTTAAATGTGTGCATACAACTACACAATTTCATCAGAAACTAGCAAATAATGATAAAATTCCAAAATAATAAAAATGTCTAACACCAACATGTTTATTTTTCACTGGTTGTTTAGATTTAAGTTTTTCAGCTTGTAATTCTTTTTCCAGTTGCGATACTTTCATCTAAACAAACGTAAAATAAAAAAAACAAAAGAAAAGCGAAGTGAAATGCTCCTGGTTATAGTGGTCCAAAGTTATTGATTCTTAGTGTTAGTTAGCTGTATAGAATCCATGACTCACCTTCCTCCCATTTCGCGACTCTTCAGCTGGGTGGTACTTATTCGCCAGTGAGTGATAATGTTACCCTTGATACTCAAGCCCAGCAGATATGGTTTCAAATACTTAGGTCTTTTACAACGGGTATGATTCGATTTAGGGAATCATTCAACGGGGGGGAGGCAAGTACATCCAGCTGGTAGGTCCCAGAGTAGGCTGAAACACGTGTCCTGGATCCCACAGTTGGCCGCCACCAAACAAGTAACTTTCGATTATTAATTCTGATAATATTGAGGTATGTATTCAATGGGTCTATATACTAAAATGACACTGACCACCGATCTGACCCAGACATATCAACGGAAAGTCAAAAACACAAACAGTATGCTTACTTATTCGATTTTTAATATACTACAGTTCCCTTTTTTTAAAAAGTAATAAGCTTATAAGCTCCATTTTATAAGCTTAACAGGTTATACTTTAAAGCGGTTAATCAGGAAGAGTTGAATTCTGTGGTGCAAAAGTCCAGGATTTATCACTTGGGTGTTCAACGCTAAAATCGGTGAGCTTTATGGCAAGCATCCCGCTGTAAAAAGTGGTTCAGTGATACAATACTCGCTAACGATGCACATCATCCAATTTCACGTCATGGCCGATGAACACTCATAAACCTTTCTTAATCGGTAGTAAGCCCAGCAAAAACGGGTTTGAGTATGAGGTTGGCAATTCTTCTAGTGAAAACAGCATCACAGCTACTAGAACTTTAACGTTTGGAATCGCATTTTCCACTCGGAACCGAAAGGAATGGAAAAAAGGCACTCTAACTTATTTTCAAAGGCGATGAAGACTTGCATGAAAAAAGTGATGCGAACTTCAGATGACGAAATACCGTAAAAATATTCTGAATTCAAATTTGTGAGAATTTGATTAATTCAAGAGTACAAAAGAAGAGGTGTTCAGGGAAGAGTTACTCTTTTCGGCAATATCATTCTCAAACTGTACAATCGCGTATATATGTAGTAAATTGCATAAGCAGCGAAAGCAATATTTCCAAAGTTGTATCATTAGGATAGTAAATTTTAGATAATAAATTTCGTTAATTGGTTAGAAACTAAAATAAGATTAAATAAGCAAGTTGAGTGACGTTATATAACTGATGTGGCTGAGTAAAATTCAACTAAAATTTGAACGAGAGTCAAGTTAACAACAGTGGTAATAAAGGGTTGACATTTGATAGGGGGTGGGGGAAGAAAATAATGCAATTAAGAAACAAAAATTCAATATATGGTGTCAGGATAGATCAAGTCCATTGTAGATTTAATGACTGAACAAACTTCCTTCAGTGTATTCAGAGTTCAGGAATTAACATGTGAATCGCCATCGCTTCTGCGGTTTGAAGAAGTTTGATTCGTACTGTTTCAGCGAAATTCCTACATATTCTGTAGATAACTTTTAAGTTCGTTCGATCAGGTGTTCCAGGATAGATCTGCTGTTGGGGAATGTGGATCCTTTTTGTCCTTTATAAAACCATGACTGTGCTTAAATGTTCGATGATATGTTTGGATAGTGAACGCTGAGTACGGCGACATACCTAGCTAGCTTAACATGAACAGGTGAATTGGTAGATGCTTTCAACATTACGTAATCCGTTACATAAAACTTACAATTCTAATGACATATCTTTGGAAATATTCCTATTGTTGCTAGGAGAATTTACTGTACAAATGCGATTGTACAGCTTGAGAATAATATCGCCGAAATGAGTAACTCTTCGTTGAACGCTTTTTCTTTTATAGGACTCAATGCAGATTTCCAAATTTTAAGCTAGTTTCCGTTACTTACCGATGTGAATTGAATAACCGTTGAAAATGAAGAAGCGTAGAACGGTTTGCTACGGTATCGAATCTTGGTAGATTTATTGGTGCATAAAATGTAATAGTGAAACTCAACGTACACAATTGAGTGAGGAATGTGAGTCAATCGTTGAGATTGTAAAGCTGCAACGGTTGAACTAGCGGCGAAATGAGCTAGAAGGGAGACACGTCTCCCTGTGATAATCACAGGGGGATTGGCTTAGCTAATGTGGTATCTAAAGTTCGAGGCTCAATAATAATGCGTAGACTAATTGGTGCTCGGGAGGCACCAACATGAGAGAACCAGGCAGGATTTAGACCAGAAAGAGGGTGTACTGAACATATCTTCACCCTTCGACAGATTCTAGAACATAGACATACTTACCGGCGTCCAACAATCATTATATTTCTTGACCTAAAGGCGGCATTCGATTCCGTCGACCGAGAGGTACTTTGGCCATGTTTGGCTATGAAAGGAATGCCGAGAAAATATATTGCAGTGATCAAGGCACTCTACTCGAACTCAATCAGCCAGGTAAGAGCTTATGGCGAGTTGTCATCTGAAGTGGTGACAACTAGTGGTGTCCGTCAGGGATGCCCATTACCCCCATTTCTATTCAATTTGATCATAAATGTACTAATTGACTTAACTCTAACTGACTTCAGTGACCCAGGGATTGACTTGTTGCCAGGGCATAATCTCGTTGACTTAGAATATGCAGTTGATATAGTCCTTCTAGGTGAAGACGCTAACAAAATACAGAATCTTGTGAACACCTTGTTCAGTAGCAGTCCGCTTCGTCCTCCTTTATGGTTGTGAGACCTGGCCATTGAGAGTAGAGGACAGGAGAAGACTAGCTGTCTTTGATCATAGGTGTCTGCGTTCTATCTCCCGTGTTAAGTGGTATAATAGGGTGAGCAAAATTGAGTTGGTTAGGCGTCGAGTGCTAGGTAAGGAGGGGAAATCAATCGATGAGGCTGTGAAGCTACATCAATCGAGATGGTTAGGACATGTGTTAAGTATGCCAAACCATCGCCTTCTCGACAACAGTCAATGTTAGCTGACATAGGGTCAGGTTGGAAAAGAGCCAGTGGTGGTCAAATAAAAACACGGCACCAGTCAATGAAATCCAAAACAGTTAGTTTAAGCCACGTAGGAAGGTGTAGACTTCCTGGTTGGGGTCCTCGGGATGGTAGAAACCAATGAAGGTTGGGGACAATAGGTGGTATGTCTCAAAATCGTTTTCAATGGCTGTCGCAGATGCATCCACTCCTTGTGGCTTATAATACCCAATAAAACTATATTGATCTTCGATACTACTATTCTTTTTGCCTCATATCTCCGTTTGTTGTCTCTATTTCGCATTTTTTTTACTTTCTTCTCTAGCTTTGTGTGCTGCGTGAAGTGTGTTGAGACCAGTCAGTTAGTCACTTTTCTTAAAGAACAATAGTAGGTAAAGTAGGTTTCAGTTATAAAAAGAGTTAAGGTTAGTTAGACCAAAAGAAAGTTGTATTCCTTGAAACCCTCAGTTGCTTGTCTAAGCCATCCATTTATGAACTCGTAAATTATTTAATTCTAGTCCATCAGGGTGCAGAGGTTGGATAGATAGAAACTCTTGGGGAAGCATCTTGAAAGCGTTCAGAATGACGCAAATGTTTGCATTGTGTAACGCTTTTAAAACTGTGAAAATAATGACTAAATTGCATTGGATTATTCTTTTTCACACTTCCGCATTTAAGTAGTGTAGTATCATTTTATTTCTATAGTGTTTTAAAGTACACGGTTTTAATATGTGGAAACTTGAGTTGATGCATGCCATTGCAATGTTAATAAAGCAGGATTTAATGTATTCATTAAATTTCGGTAGAATTCTTCAGTTGACTACTCTATGTTGAATCGATCATGCAAAACGACAGGTGTGGATGTTTTTCAGGCCATGTTCAGATAAATATGTGATGGAAGATGTATGAGGGATTAAAAGTTAAGTTAAGTTTACATCACGATATGAAAACACTGGTTATCAGAGAGCGAGACTTGAAAGTGTCGGGAATAGCAAAGCAAATGATGTTCAGTTATGGCGCTTCTGATTGAACCAGTGCCTCCTCTTTGCAGCCATCCTGAATGATGTTCTCTAACACGTTTTGATAAGACCCACATAGAACGACCTAAATACCTAGCTCCACATGAGTAGGTGAACTGATATATGCACATTGAAGTGGTCATATGCGGAAGTCTGTGTTTATTACACATTTTGTAATTTTATTAATTTGACCTTGACCGGGAATAGTTCTAGAACTTTCTCACCCATTTACTATGTTTATCTGTCACTTAACCCAGCATTCATTTTAAATATTTGAGTAATCACACAGGAGTTATACAGCACAACTACTAACCGATAGACGACACCAAACTAGGTGTGAAGTAAGATTACAAGTCAAGAGTCATTGGAAGTAGACCATTTGCTGAAACCATTAAAACTCATATATCCACCACTCCATAAATAATAAATCACCAGAGATTATTTTAAAACACCTACCATTAATTGTTTTAATTTCTGTTGAGTAATTGATCCTGATAGTCTAGACGAAGAATTCGGTGTAGAGGATAGCTTTGAATTTGGCGTTTGTTTTGAATTCAATCTATTCTGTTTATGACACTGGGGCTGATAACGCTGACTACCATTTGTGGAAGTATTTAAACTTCTTGCCGATGGATAAATGATAGACTTTCTACTACTGTGATTTGGATTAGGCATTGGATGTTTACTGTTGCTATTCAATGTTGTTTTATATTTATGGACAAGATCATAGTCCAAATGTAGCGCACGTGATTCAAGGCATGTTTTACCGGGACAATGATGGCTTGGATAATCACTTTAAATTGGTAAAGAAAGAGAAAACAATAATTAAAAATAATTTCCCACAATATCATTCATTTATCACCTTTGATAAAGTTAGGAAATTTTCAATAATTGGTATGTAAGGATTAGATTTGTATTGACAAGTTGATCACGGATTGATATCAGTTAGAGAAGCATTGAAAACCAGGGAGTAGTGGACAGCTGTTTCATCCCAGTTTGGGAGCCACTGGCAATATGCCCCACTGGGGTTCGAATCCAGGACCTTCCGGTTACAAGGTAAGCCACTGAGACCCGATTCAATGCCCCATGAATTCTAACTTCTACGAATTCGTGATTTAGCGCGACCACCCAACAATGTAATCGGTGGGACATCCATCCTCACACTTGACTGGATGAACCTCACTGGTCACGACTTCTCACTAGAACTCCAGGAAACTCTGTCCTGTAGCAAGTCACTAGCGAGCATCAGATTAATTTTCAAGTGTTTGGCTTGTTAGGATTAGATTCGTTTGGTGAAAGTTGGAATTCATGAAGCATTGAAACGGGTCCCAGTTACTGAATGGTCCTGGGTTCGAACCCTGACAGTGGGTGCGTAGTACCGATGATTCACAAACTAGGATGAAACAGCTGTCCAGTACTTGAGTGCTGATTTTCAATGGTTCTCTAAGTGATGTCAATCCGTGATCAACTCGTAAAAGTTCGGAAAACCAAATATGTAAAATAAAGTAATGGGATTTTCTTTCAAAGCAGCGTGTTTTGTGTCAGACACTTCAAAAAATGCCTACATATTGTTAGATGGTTAGAGGTAGTCAGCAGGAAGCCCTGGACCTAGGTTGCGTGCTGGTTTGCACACGTCAGCAAAGCGTATATGCAAACTTGAAGGAGCTCTTTATTCCCCTTGAGATTCAAACCTGCATGAGGCAGAGCTGTGGTCAAAGATGTTGCCACTGATCTATTCGAGCTAATGACTGACCTTCCACAGGACTGTAATGGATACATTGATTAGTCTCTAAGGCGTAACCAATGTTATGCGTCTAAAGTTTGATTTTGGCACAGACTCAATTCTTTTATCAGTATATTTGTGTAAAACTTGGGCACTGTGGTAGTAATTAACTCCATATTGGTTTGTTTATTAGACGCATCACACAGTGAAACAGTATTATTTACTGGATGACACTGATTCGAACAAAATTTTATTGTACATAATCAAATCAATTATAAACCCATGACTTCGAAACTTGGGTTTCATAGTTTTCTTTGTTCTCTCCTGTTTGTCTTAGGGATAGTAGAACTTCCCAGATGTCCGGGTGGATAGGTGTTGAATCATTCCTATTACATGTATTTGCAATTGATTCGATAAACAAAGCTCCCGTTGACATCAATCTCTCCCTCCACCTAGTTACATTAGACATTAAAACTGTTATCTTATCCCATCCCATCATGTTCTATGGTTGTGCGCAATTGCATGTAGTGCTATGGCTGAACTATTCTCTAGATTTCTTATCTTATTCGGGTCAACTAAATGCAATTACAACTGGGTGGAGGGAGAGATTGATGTCAACGGAAGCTTTGTTTATCGAATCAATTGCAAATACATGTAATAGGAATGATTCAACACCTATCCACCCGGACATCTGGGAAGTTCTACTATCCCTAAGACAAACAGGAGAGAACAAAGAAAACTATAAAACTCAAGTTTCGAGGTCATGTGTTTATAATTGATATAATCATGAACAATAAATTTTGTTCGAATCAGTGTCATCCAGTAAATAATACTGTTTCACTGTGTGATACATCTAATAAACCAACTAATATGGAACTAAATTCTTTTAGTCAAGGTTACAGATACACCCTTCCGACGAGTATACAGGGCTACTTGCTGGTTGTTTCCAATCATTTAACACTAATTCAGAATGCACGGCGATGAAAAGCCACCTAGCTTGATAACTATATTGAAAGCTTTACTGACAGTATTCAATCTGCACCAACATCAGGGATTAGGCGCATGACATAGGTTACTCCTGAGTGATTAATCAATACAAACAATCTCTATACACAAATGTGCCACTCTCAGAAACAATTTGTTTCCTTTGCAGACATATGGAGGACAGAAATCTGAACATCGAAATACTAACTTCATATCTGAAAGATTTGTTACTGAGGTGCACATTTAATGTTTAATTTACCTTCAATGACGATATCTGCAGACAAAAAGATAGGATTGCCATGGGCTTTCCCCTTGGCCCACGTTTAGCAGACTAATTTATGGCCAGCATGGGAAATGAGATCTTAAAATCGACAATGGACAAACTGATGCTGTGCAAAAGGTATGTCGATGACACTTTTATAGTTTTTCACGATGATTCTGATTTAAATAGTGTCTTACATGAGTTTAACAGTTGCCAACCTTCAATTAAATTCACAATAGAAGTTGAAAATGAATCACATTTCTGGACGTCCAATTTACACGAAGACATGATAGAATTCTGAAAAGATATGTTCACAGAAAATCTTCATGGAGTGGCCAACTGACACGCTTCTACAGTTGGATATCCGTCAGTTGAAAAACAGCTCTCATCACCTCGCTTGCCCACCGTATCAAAAGAATTTTAAGCAGTGCCTGCTTGGAATATCTTGCCTCAAAATGGACACTCGGTAAGTTTAATGGAGAAGAACATGAAACCAAAGACAGAAAGGGAAGAATGCATTTCATTGCCAAAGGAAACACTATATTTGAATCTGGATTTCAGGGGAGACATAGCAGCAGATCTCCTTAAAAGGAGAATCTCCAGTTCCTTAAATAAGACATTTTCTGTAGCAACTGTAAGAGTGATATCCTCTAGCCGCCCACTGCTTCGAAGCAATGTGAAGGGCAGTCTTCGGCACCTGACCACTTCAGTTCACCTGCTCGTGTGGAGCTAGGTACATAAGTCGTTCTATGCCGTTCCTATCGAAACGAATTAGAGGTACTGGTTCAGTTAGAAGCGTCATAATTGAACACCTCGTTAACATCTGTCACAGCATCTCAACTGACTACTCATCATTCAGAGTCATTTACAAAGTAAGCGAAAATCTACCAAAGGTAGTGCGTTTCTGACTTCCTTGTGCTGCTGTATGAACAAACAAAACTAGTCCAGCCTCTACATCGACCATAGATCTAGTTCGGCTTGTTTGGTTAGGTCGCGGTTTTTTATCTCCTCCATCTTTTTTCTTTTTCGTCTCTTTCATTTTCAGTTTTAAAGTATTGCTATTTCAATTTGTTTCCATAATTATCTCATTCACACTTTTATTCGTTAGAAAACTATTTTCTAATCCTGTGTAATCTTATCTCTAAGCCCCTTGTCACCATTTATATTCACACCCTTGAACTTTCATATCAAGTTGAAAATTATTACTACCTCTAAACCCCTTCGTTACTATGTGGAGTTAAATAATAATAGTGATTGTATCTATGTAAACTTATGTATATAAATACGATTGTACAGCACCTTTTGAGAATTAAATCACCGAAGGGATTAACATCTTTGCTGAACTTCGTGTTCTTTTCTCTAATTTAATTGCTTCCAACCATCTAATACCAACAATTGACAGTGCACCGTGATGGCGAACCAACTAGGATGGTGGCCACATTTCAAACTTGACTAACTGATAGAAATCACTCTGCACCACACAAAGGATTAGACACAGTACAATGGCTACTGACTAGTGTCCAATCAAAAATATCCAATACAGTCCTACAGGAGGTTGATCGCTAGCCCGAATTGCTCAGTGGTAACGTCTCTGCTTGCAGGCAGCGCTGGGTGAAGCGATTTCGAGTCTCAGAAAGGACATGAGTTGCCTGAAGACTGCACATACGCCTGGTGACTGCCAACTATCACAAAACCTAGCTCAAGCAAGGCTTCCTGTGGTCGACTGCCTTCCATCATCTAATACCAACAATACACTTGTATCTTTAGGCTTTTATGATTATTTTCATACTTGTTAAGAAAGGAATGAGAAAAAATAAAAAAAAACAACTAACTTACCGACATCTTGACGCTCTTGCAGCAGTTCTCCATGGTATTCCACCACCACCACCTTCTGTCCTAGCTGACAATGGAGTGGAAGGTTTATTACAAGACGCTTTATTATTATTGATTCTTGCTATACCAGGTGGCTTCCATACAGCTCGTTCACTGAAAGGACCAGATTCACCACAATGTGAATAACGATTAGGCTTTTTAGTTAAATCTAAATTACACTTATGTGGTTTATGGCAGTCTGGTGAATATCTAGGCCCAGCACTGTTACATCTTAGTCGACCACCAGCTGGCTAAAAGTGAAAGTTAGACAGAGAAGGAGAGAGAGAAAAAGCATCAAGAATAAAACATCTAAAGAAATTATTTCATTTTTTAAGGTAAGCCGACATGCTAAACTGACCTCATCGGCAGAAAGTTTTGAACTACCTTGAGGAACAGGTATCAACAAGGAGATGGGTTGTTTATCACAAGTTAGGAATTAGTTACCCAGTCTTTGGAGAGCATTTTTTGTGTGAAGACTGGCGATAACACCTAGTTGCCTTGATTGAATTATGCGAAGGTGTATTCGGACTTAGGACCCATTAGCTGGAAGTTAAGTGCTAAAGCCAACTGGCGCAAATCTGTGAATTTTTGGACATTGGTTTTCAAAACTGCACAATTACAATTTCAGTTTGTGATACATTTGCTTAAGAATCGGATAGCCCAAATGATTAGTGTCCGGCGGCTATATCATGAATACCAGTCAGTTCAACACGGGGATAATTAGTTAGTACTTGTTTAAGGCGTTAAGTGATGCCGGTCCTAGATTTGAAGGAAAAGTGATTGGTAAATTCACCACAGCTTCTTTGGGGAAAAGAAAGGAGACATAAGTCAACGCAAGAATTGGCGCGGTATTATGCTCCTGTCTATCCCAAGCAAAATACTAAGCCGCATCATCCTGAAGAGAATCAAACATGCCCTGGATGAAAAACTTCGACCGGAACAGGCTGGATTCAGGAGGAACAGGTCATGTATCGATCAAATCTCAACACGACGTATCATCATTGAACAGAGCTTGGAATGGCAGTCAGCTCTCTATCTCAACTTCATTAACTTCGACAGCGTCGATCGAAAGGTGATTTGGAAACTACTTCACTACTATGGCGTGCCGCCAACAATTATACACCTCATTCAACAGTTGTACGACAGTGCTGCATGCCAGCCAAGTAATCCACAACGGGAAACTCACGGAATCCATCGAAATGAAGACGGGAGTGAAACAAGGCTGCCTACTGTCTCCAATGATTTTCCTGATTGTGGCGGACTGGACAACGCGACAGACAGCAGCGGGCAGTGAGGAAACAGGCATAAAATAAACCCACACAAAAAACTTGGAGGATTTGGACTTCGCCGATGATATATGTCTGATTTCCCACAAACTGGAAGGTATGCAAGTGAAAAGCAACAAGTTGGCAGAAGAAGCATCCAGAGAAGTAAGGCCTTCAGGTGAACATAGAGAAAACAGAGGTAGCTGACGAATTTCCTGGCCAACAGCAACACCAACAACAATGCATTCAAAAGAAGTTCGTATAGCCATTATCCCTCACTTGTTGGCCTATTAAGACCTAACCAACATGGTGACATCTCCACGACCCCTTACTTATATTTTCAATCCCTCTCTTATCATCCCTTAATCTTATCACATCTTCATTAAAACATACTTTATTTATTTCCCTTACAATCTAGCATTACTTAATCGGTTGATTTGTTTTTCCTAGCTTTTATCGACTACTACGTCTACCTGAACACGTTTGTTTGTTTAATCATGCTGTTTTTCATTATTCTTGTTATCACAGATCACCTCACTTTATCATCCTTGCTAATGACATAATCTTCAAGTATTGATTTTGCAGGGATTTTGTTTGATTGGATGGAGGATTTCATCATGAGCTGACATCAGTTAGAGAAACACTGGAAAACCTGGGAGTACTGGACAGCTGTTTCGTCCTGTTTTGGGAGTCTTCAACAGAACCCTGATGGGTGCACACTGACAGAATCATTATTATTATTGTTATGACTAACTGCCCAATTCATATGCACAATCTTATTATCCTGTTGACTAAACAGCGTGATTGGTTTTTCTATTTAATTAGATTTATTTGTAAAGTTTTGTCTGCATACTAGAGTTAAGCCTGATGAGATCTAATCGAAAGCACGATACTGTTCGCTTAAATGTGTTATTCTTAATGAAATTCATTCTTTCTACTGACGATTCGAATGTCCAATCTCTCAGTGATTACGTTAGCCAAATATTTCTTTCTACATTAAAAAAACAAATACTTACTATAAATGGTGGTCTGTCTGAAAAGTTGTCTTTATGATGTATATGCATAGGTGCATCACTGACATTGTAACGTCTTTCATGACATATCGAATCCTTTGACTTTGATCTTCTTCCACTTCGATCAGTCGATTTTATCGATTCACCAGTGTCTGAATGGTAAGAACCAGGTAGCTTTGTCATTCCAGTTATACCTGGCCATGGATATGTTATAACACCGGAGCATAGCTTTGATGGTGTCTGTGGTCCAGCTTTTAACCAACTAAACTGTGGAAAAGGAAGATGAATGCAACAGCAAAATAGAAACAAGGAAGATGAAAGAGAAGACTGTCCAACTCAATAATGAGGTAAACTGAATTACGGTTTTTTGAGAAGTTCACTGACTTCAGAGTGGAATCCATCGGCTTTCCTGATGTTCAGTGATTATTTAATTGATATCAATTCCTGACGAGATCCTTATTGAAATATTTATCGTTATTTTTCCTGTCCGATCCTAATCTGAAATTCCTGTGGGGTCATGCATGTGAAGTATAAACGAGGACAAAATTTTAGGCATCGGTTAGGCATCAGTGGTCAAATGCTCAGCAACAAGACAAGTACTTAGGTTTCGATTCCGGAAGAATGCGGTCCTAAGCCTCAACTGGTTTAGTTATCCCGGGAAATAGGGAAAGCTGACAGTGAAGCTCTGAACTCTACCACGTGAACACAGTAACAAATCCTATCGAAATTTCAAAGCTTGGATCGAATTCGAAGGCAAGTACCAAACAAAAAATACTCTGATTGAGTCTTTTATTAACGTAGAGGCTTGCTATACCTTTCTATAACTCTCTGAGCTACAATTTCCATATGCAGAGTAACAAATGAGTCGACTAGGCGTCATTTTCGAATCCTCGGAATTGAGGCGAAATAAAACTAACTATTAGCGAAGAATGTAAATTCGTTAAAATTTTACCCGAATTTTCCTAATCTTCTTCTCCTTGTGAATGCTTTCTCTATTGATTGACAAATAATAGTAATAATCGCCTTATTCCAAACAATAATAATTATACAGAATGGAAATTTCAGCGTTTTTATACATATTGCAACAGTTTAGCTCCTTTTATAAATATGTACATACATAAAAGCTAAAATAGTAATGTTGATATTAGTAATGAAACCACTATGAACAGAATTTCGGTGGAAACATAATGAAGTATAAGTGGATAATATCATAGATAAGTCATGTAATAATAATAATAATAATAGTCTTTGCTTATACTTTGCTGTTCAGTTACTGATTTAAAACGCCTATTTATAAGTTCTTTTCTGACATCTGACTCTCTTTTCACACACAACCACCCCTGCTTAATATGGTGGTATGGTAGAATTTTCATACAAAGTAGCTGTACCAGCGTAAATGCTTCTCATGAAGTTTCTTCTGGTTCTACCCTCAAAGAGATACAAGGAGAAGGTTGCGAATTACAAAGAGGATGTTCCGAACTAGACAAGAGAACTTTAGCCAACTGCTTGCAAGAATTGAAGTGCCTATTTACAATAATGTTACTAAGTTGAGTCAAAGGCGCATACACCACTAATCCTGCCTCATTGCAGCCTTCAGTGTTCTAAGTAACATGATATAGTCTTTTCTGAGAAGTTCAGGGAAGAATAAGTTGGGTGAACAATAAAGATGGTGAATGGGTAGAATACATGAATTGATGAATTGTAAGAGAAGAGGTGAGGTTGAGTTATGCTAGCAGAAAGTCTGAACTTCTTTATGTAATAAGTTAAAGGAAAGTGTTTCTTAGAAATCAACAGGATATGAGACGACCAACAGAAATTTAGAGAGAATTTGATGGCGAGATGAGAAATATTCGATTTACTTCCTATCACCACAGTGCCGTCAATATTACAGGAATCATGGGGCTGATTTAGTCCACACAAGCCTTTTTCTCATCTGAAATTAAAATCACCAATGTTACATTTAGATGGATTCAGTTTAAGATCATTTACGTGAGACTATTTGTCAACTTCAGATAAGAATCTATTCATAATAGAACAATCCAGAGTGGAAACCACTGGTACAGAATTGGTTACATCGTCGGCATATTTAATGAAGTTAGCTTTGAAGGGATATGGAATATCATGCAAAAAGAAGGAGAGAATGAATGGAGAGAGTACAGCAGTTTCCGTAATCAAAGAAGTGAAGTGTTTTCCATTCAAAACAGTATGTTATTTTCTCCCCGAAAAATAAGAAGACAACCAGCCACCTTGTGACCCAGATGGACTCAGTGTTTGCTGAAATCAGCTGGTTTAGTAAAAAGGGCCTAGAAACAGAGTCATCAAAAGTAGCAGTGTAGTTGGTTTAAAAAGGAGGCTCGAACAAACTTTGCACCTTTGTCAAAACTTGAAAGAATATTGTGATGGAGTACAACGACAGCCAGCATCTAATGTGCTTCTACTGCATTTGTAAGCAAACTACTCTGGGTCATTAAAGGATTTCGTGGAAGGTTTAAGAACATGCAAGAGAAGTTTCTCCATAGTTTTCAAAAATGCAGACTTGATAGCGATTGGCCTAAACTTTAGAGCTGATTCAGAAGAGGACTTTGGTGAAGGTATCAGCTTCATTTCTTTCCATGCAACAAGTACTGTATCTGTGTGAAAATATGCATTACAGATTTGAGTAAGAGGATAACACAAAATATCAGCACAATTTTGAAGCAAAATGCTTGTTACACCATTGGAACATAGGCTGTGTGATGGATTTAAGGAATTGAGACATGTTAATGCATTCTTTTCATTGAAATCAGCGAAATGATCATTTACGTGGGTAGAAACAAGTTGGTTTCATTCTCTGGTCATACAAATTTATGGAATTTCGGTAAAAAAATGATGAATAAGAATGGATAATTTAAGCATTGACAACCACCATAAAAGGCGCCTAATTCTCATTCCCTAGATGATTCAACACGATGAAGATTACAGCGGTCTTCTCGTCTTCATGTCCACACTAGAGGTGTGAAGGTTATGAAGTGAATATTATACAAACAAAAAGCATAAGATCATTTAATGTGAATCAAAGTATGTACTCATCGAGACACAGGCTCATCTTGGTCACTGAAGTTACAACAGAAGACGTAAACCTGTTTATTGTGACGACAGAGACTAGAAATCACATAGCAAAATTGAGCATTTTAAGAACTGTTTTGACAAAAATAGATTCAAAGTTAGAAGTTTGAATAGTTGTTCAAACAACCCAAACAGTGTTACTAATTAAAGACATTACTTTTCAATATTTTTTCTTTAACACATCAAGATTTTTCTGAAGATGTTCCGTAAAATAAAGAAAAAAATATTAACGTAGACGGTGATGACACAAAGTTAAACGAAATTCTGTGTTGTGGACGAGCATCTCACCTTCTAATATAGCGCTCCTTCAGTTGACTGGTGAAAGTCAGCTGCTGACTATGTCATCAATTCAATGGGATCATTCTCTGAAGTGCACAGCTGATATGTCACTAAATACTATAATTTTTGCAGAATAAAGTGGTGCCATCATTTATTTCGTTGCCTTCTCATCAGCTGCTTACAGGCCATAGTCATTATTAAGTATGTCTACAGAAACAATTTTAACATACTTGCACGGAGTTCATTTTAAATAAAAATCAATACTTAATAATGTATGTGGTCTGTAAGCAGCTGACGAGAAGGAAACGAAATAAATGATGGTACCCTTTTATTCTGCAAAAACTGTAGTTCTCGATTTATTCAAATCCATTAAGGGGAACAAATGCGTGAAATACTATACAGATCTCCATTTCCCACCATGATAACTCCATTATAGATAAGATTTTATTTTGATAAATCACAGTGTTATACAGTAATATTAAGTGATGACCACGCTTCGAGGACAAATTATTACTGCTCATAATCACATCAAGGCACTACTCACACAACTTTTCGCTTCATTTATGTACATGAGTGAAATTGATTAGACATTTGAATAAAAAGCAATATGAGATAATTTACATTCAGATATAATAACATGAGTGTTATTGATCAAATACAGTCAGATGGGGAATAAGAAGAGTGTGTTTATAATCAAAATAAGTAACTTGTTAGAATGTTATAATTAATGTATGTGAATTGAAACAGAATTTTAAGATTATTTATTATCCTCCTCTGATTTGACTGACTGGTGGTAATAATATCTTCTTTACATATCTCTGGTATTTCCGTTGAGTCACATGTATTGCATGTGTTGAGTGTAGACTCAATGAACCAGGCAGGATTCAGTAATCCATCTCTCTCTCTCTCCACCTACATAGATTACTTGTTAGAATCTTAACTCTCTCCTGACCACCCTATTGTGTGGTTGTGTGTTAATGCATGCAGTGCAATCACTGAGTTCCTCTTTCGAAATAACTTATCTTCGTGGGATCAATCACTCATATATATAAATGAAGTAAAAAGTTGTGTGAGTAGTGACTTGATATGATTATGAGCGGTAATAATTTGTGCTCGAAGCGTGGTCATCAGTTAATATTACTGTATAATACTGTGTGATTTATCAAAATAAAATCTTATCTGCAGTGCAGTTGTACTCACGGGCCACAGTGCCCAAGTTTTATACTTGTATCAATACCACCACGATAGTTATCCAGTTAGGTCTCCTTTTGTCAAGCTTAATCATACTGAGTGAAAATGAAGCGAGTGCTTTAGGTTTTATTATTATTATTGGTATAATGAGTGAGAATTCAATGTAAAACGAGCAACTTGGTGCTGTCAAGATTAGAAACAGGCCACTTTGTGTTAATAATCAGGATTACGTATTGTAATTTTAGTGAAATCAAGACCTGACATCATGCACCAATAAGACCCTTGAGTGGAATCCAGATGGGAAACGACGAGCTGGTTGTGGGTCAGAGATTGACATGAAGGGGATCATGTCAAGAGGAGATGAAGGCTCAAGAGCGATCGTGGAGGACTGCAGAAAACCTAGATAAGCCTCTGAATCCGTGTGTTACGTCGAAATCTAAAGGAATAAACAATTCTTCACGAGAATCCGCTGTATTTTTCATCCCAAAATTCATGATGCCCATACAATTGGGAGTGGTTATTCCAGCATAAAAGCTTGGCGGGTAGATAGATTTAGGGATAAATTTATGCCCTTTAGTGTATTTACATTTTAACAAATAATAATTTTTATCAGTATTAATTCGAATTATTCATCAATGGTATGTTTGAGTTCCAAGACTAAAATTTTTTACGCACCATGTTTAATTCTTATATAATCACAGATGTAATTTGATTGGTGTCAACATCGTTGTATAAATTTTGTAGTCAAATATGAAGCATTTATACAATCCAATTTCACTTACCTCAGTCTGTTTACCCTCTGAATTGATAAGTGCTCTTTCTGTCACAGCACGTAGTAGGTCACGAGCTAAAGTTAAGAAATGAAACATGAGGCTATATAAAATGATAAATTGTGTGGAAGATACATATATTTTCTGAATTCGTGTAAAAGTTATGCAATCAATTGAAAAGGAAATCAAGAGTGATGATAACACAAATACAACAGTATAAGCAAAGATATTTCATTTCTGATTGGTTAGAGGATTTCATCATGAGTTGACATCAGTTATAGGGAGCTATTTGAAAACCAGATGGGAGTACTAGACAGTTGTGTCGCCCTAGTCTGGGACTCTTCACAGCACGTACCCACTACAGTGGTTCAAACCCAGGACCTTCCGGTTACAAGACGAGGTCGTAGGCCATTAGGGCCCTGGGACCCGATCCGACGGCCAGCCAATGAATTCTAACTTCTGACAATTCATGACATAGCACGACCACTTCACAATGTCTTCTTCAATGAGTTACTGCTCCGCCTTCAACCTGCTGTATCCAACTGGTCAAGGCTTCCCACTAGAACCCTAGATAAATGATGTTAGCCGATAATGAAATCCTCCAACCAGTCAGACAAAATCCCTGCAAAACCAATACTTGACAATATTTCATCTCTGTCTTTTCCCGGGAGAATATTTTCTGTGAGTGTGTACACCGATGACAATAATCTATAGAACCCGTGTTGGATGACAATGATACCATTTTCATAGAAGAATTTCCTCTTCCACTCCTTATTTCTCAAATGTAAGTTTACTGAGCTTCAACTTAGGAGTCTGTTGAGAATTGTTCCACCACACAAATGAAGACAAGAAAAAATTCAAAAGAAATATAATGAACGCGAATGTACAGGAGAAAGAATAATTACACTGGGAAACATGAAGACTTAGTTGATATAGAACGGTGACTTGGGATGCGTAACACGTGTCCTAACCATCTCAGTCCATGCAGCTTCACAACCTTATCGGTTGACTTTCCTTTCTTATTTAACACTTTACGCCTAACATTAATATTACTTATCAGATTATACTACTTAACACCGTAGATAGAAGGCAAACGTCTGTGATCAAAGACAGCCGGCCTTTGCATATCTTCCACTTTAAATAGATATGACTCACAGTTATAAAGAAGGACAGGGTGAGGTGCTGTGCACTACACACGTCGTTTAACCGATACCCGGATATCACCTTAAATATGAACATGAAATTCCCTAATTGAATATTAGGTATAACAGGTTTGATAATACAGACAGCAGAGACTATTGAAGTTCATTACTCAGTTTGTTCAAAACTATTTTAGAAAAAATAACTGATAGCAAGAAAGGAGAAGTGTTAATTCTGCTAGTGGTTATAAACTTGCATTCGTCGAACTATTTGTGCCCAAGTTTTATACTTATATCGATCACTACTGTCTCCGTACAATTGATTGCGTTCGATTGTGGTATCATCGTGTGAGTAATTCTGAGGCCCGGTAGCATGTGTTTTGACACAGTTTAGATAAACGTTCATTGAGTGTCGTCATCTGGAAACACCGGCTTCTGTGGCTCGGACATGTGCTACGAATGTCATCCTAGAGGCTTCCGTACAGACCTCTGTTCGTTATCCCTGGGATGGGATGGAAGGAGTAAAGAGGTGGCCAGAGCATGATATCGCGTGATGTGACGAAGGATATTTGTGATAGGTTAGCATCGGTTGGTGAGTCACGACTCCCTGGTAGACGTCCGAGAGATAACCCGAATCAGTGGCTTGAAACGATATCGGATATGTCCAGGAATCGCAATCAATGGCGAACGTGCTGCAATTTTCTGCTGTCTTTCCTTTTTGAGAATAATTCAACGAATGCTGTCTGGCCTGCTGCTTTCTTACCAGATAAAATCCTTTATTCGTTCTTTACCTTATTTTTTCTCATAGGTTATTTTATTATTATTGCGTGGCGCATCTTCTTGGTGTGTCAGTGTATCAAGTTTCGCTTTTTAAGTAAATAAATAAATAACTGATTCAACTCCTTGTGCTGAGTCATTTTGGGTACATTTACTGGTAAGTTTGGACTCAAACAAGCGAAATGTCGTCTACAGCTTGATGTGTATAACACACGTATATATTTCATTATAACATGACCAATTTCATACGGCAAATCTAATCGATATGTGTATCTTAGTCAGTTTGCTTTAATTTCCATATTTTCCAGATATTTTATAAAGACTAACAATTTGCACAAAATAAAATGGTACCATCATTGTTTATTTCGTTGGCTTCTCATCAGCTGCTTACATCCCAAAAACGCTAATAAGTTTATGTACAGAAACAATTTCAACATACTTACAAAGAGAGTTCATTTTTAAAGAAAAATCAATCTATGCATACACTAGTAATAATAATAATATTCATAGGCCATTGGATCGGGTCCCAGTGGCTGATGAATGGTTTACGAGCTGTCTAGCCTTGTAACTAGAAGGTCCTGGCGAGTGTGTTCTATTGAAGAGTCCCGAACTAGGACGAAACAGCTGTCCTGTACTCTCCGGTGGTTTCCCAATGGTTCATGATTAAATCCTGTTACCAATCAAATCCCCGCAAACTTGGGTAATAATAATAATAATCACCCATCCCAAACAATAATAATAATATACACTGGAGAATCTGTTGAGTTCATTTGTCAACATTCTGATCTTCTACAAATCCCAGTGTGGGAATTCAAATTCCTACTCCTTATGTGTACCATGAATGTACAATCCCACTTTGACAACACTCTTTACCGCCAAATAGATGGTGTAGCTATGGGCAGCCCACTTAGTTCTGTTTAAGCAGATATCTACATGTCGAACCTTGAAAGAACTAAGTTGAAGCATGCGATCAACGAAACACCTTCTTATTGTCAATATGTAGATGACACATTTGTAGTGTGCAATAATGAAAGTTATACCTCCTACCTATTCGGGTTATTCAACAACGCACATAAAAATATTGAATTTACTATGGGATATGAAAATGATGGCAAGTTCTATTTCCTTGACATTGCCATGCAACACCTGAAAGATGGTAGTCTTCAGAGGTCACTTTACCGAAACCCGAAATAGAATGGGCAATACTTACATTTTAATAGTTTTTGTCCAAATTGATATAAACGAGCACTAGTCAAGACTGTTCTATAGAGTCAGGAGAATATGGTCTACAGAGAAATTAGAGGAAGAATTTACGATTCTCGAAAAGATGTGGAAAAACAACGGTTAACCTCAGAGATTCATTAACAAGTAAGGAAGATGTGAAGACTCCAATGTCAAACAAATCACAGTTGAAAAAAAGCCTGTCTTCATTCAACTTGAATTCAGAGGTGAAAATATTGCATCGATTGTCAACAGAAGACTGAGTACGTCACTAGCCAGAGCGTATCCTGCAGCTAAGCTGGTTCCCGTCTATCGAGCAACGTGCTCATATTTGATGCTGCAATCAGAAGTCAACATAAATGCTTCTCATGCTAACTCCAACTGTGTATACAAATTTACAAGTATCTGCGGAACCAGTTACATTGGAGAACAGAAAGAACCCATACATCCAATTTTGTGAACATGTACTAAAAATCCTACATCTCCAGCTGGGAACAAATGCTTTTAACAGTGCATTGTCAGGCATCTCCTTGACACGGGTCATGAGGGGATGTCGCAAAATCGTTCAGAATTATCAATGGGCAAAGAAGTTCAGTTCTCCTCAAGTTTGTCGAAGCAATCTGCATCAAGCGCCTGAAAACCCAATTTGTGTGTTCAAAAAGAAGCAGTTAACCTGATAACTGGATAAATTCATGCTCTCTTTCACTTGATTAAGTAACTCCAAAAAATCCCATTTTGTATGATTATTATTGTTTGGGATAAAGTGGTTATTATTATTATTAACACGGTATGAATATATTGATTTTTCGTTTAAAAATGAACTCTCTGTGTAAGTAAGTATGTTAAAATGTTTCTGTACACAAACATAATAATATCTTCGGGCTGTTAGCAGCTGATGAGAGGAATGGTAATACCAAAGTTGTTAGAGAAGTATTCAGCCTGATTAAGAATAATTTAGAAAGTCCAATATTTATCGGAAGTTGTTGTTTGTCCTCATTCCCTTTGAAATAAATCTTTAGCTATCATTTTTTCTGCTTGCTTACAGAATTATTTTTCCAGATTATTTTGATTTTATAAGTGTTTAACAGGTGAAGTGACTAAACCATGCATGTGTCTGTTTGCATCCGACACATAATTACCTATCTGGTGATTACAGGATATATAAAAATGCTTGAAAAATTATTATTGTTCCCTGGATTTCCAAGTGGAACATACGACATCAACAACAGAACAGCGTCATTTCTCTTTCTTTTCCGAAGTCGTCTTCTAGCCTGCGCCATGAACTCATTGGTTCGCATTCAGGTTTCATTGGAAAATCTCTTCAGGATATCACTTAATGGCCTCCTCACAGTATGTCAAATCCAATTCCATTTTATTCTGCCTTTTTGTTCAGGTGGTAGATTCTCAGTCAGTTCGTTGGGAGAGTTCCTTAACGCTTATCCTTTCTGACCAGACATTTGATCTTCAGTATGGAGTGTAGGAGGTAGGTGTTAATGAAAGTCGTTAGTAGTCTGTTGGGAATTCTTTTCATAACACGTCATCTATACAAGTCCACTGGTTGGCTTGATATTAGTGTTATAAATTCAAATCTTGTTCCTTACCCTGACTGCAGCAGAATTTCACGATGACTTCAGAGTCTGTCATGGCTGCATTTGCCATTTTTCATGTATGCTGCTTTCAGCTAAAACGATGCTAACTAAATCAGCGAAGAGATAACTTCGTCTGAACTTCTCCAATTTAGGGATAGCAGTGGGATCCAGGAAGCGAATTTCATCCTCTTTTAGACTCGTTAGCTCGATGTACCAGCATTCTCAGTTAGTCATCGTGTCTCTGTTATCGTTTGTTTCAAACGAAAAAGCATTGTCCACTAGTTCATTGAGACAGGAAAGGCACCTTGTGTACAATGTGTATTAGCTTTTGTTTGTTTCAAGTTATTTTGC